TCTTTTCAAAAAATAAATCAACATTAACAAGTTATTTTTATACACGTTATGAATAAATAACTTAGCTAAAATTAATTTTAAAAATTACTGCAAGAGTTTGTGTTTAATGTTGATAGTTTGAATTAAAGTATTAAAAAAAGTGTGACTATTACACCAATCCATAGAAGCTTTATAACACGCCTATTAGATCGGACTACCATTTTGCTTCAGAAGTTATAAAATTATTATGTAAACAATTTATACCAATAAATGACGAGTAATCAGCTGAAATACCTTTAAGTTCATTACAAATTAATTAAAGGTGCAATAAAACAAAAGTAAATGGTCAACTAGAGGCAATATTAGCAATTATATTGCTAAATATAACGACGTATAAGATCAAACAACAAGGTCTCAATATTCTTGTTTCTTGACATGTGAAGTGTAAATATATCATGAGCCATCTGCAAGCTTGTCGTCTTCTGTGACATAAAAACCAAGGAAAATAATATTTATTAACGCTTTGAAAACTGATCGAATATGACGAAAAAAACAGACTGGTGCATTTTCCACTTACAGAGTTTTACTAGTAAGCCTTCAAAACTATAATATGGTTAAACTATATATAACCTTACGGACCTATATACAATTATTTATGTAAAATTTGCATGTCGCAGTCGCAGTACCTTCAATAATGAATTTCACCTTTGAAGTTTTGAATCTTTTCGGTGCATGTGGAAAATCAATCCAAATTCAAAAAGTAAACACTCACAAAGAAATTCGCTTAATATATTCCACAAATATGACATATCATGTTCTAAAAGGTAATGTTATGCAAGTGCTAAATTTTATCTTTGTGATAAAGGAAGGTAACGTACCCGTAAAGACGACAGCATCAGAAATTCGAAATATTCGATAAGCACATAAGATAAGGTGTTGTGATAAACTATTGTCCTTGTTTTCCATGCGCCGTGACTAATTCTCGGAACATCTTTTTTTGTCACTCATTCTGATAATAATAGAAGTAGCAGTTTTATTTGTGACGGGAAAGATTGTCAGAAAGCATTTCCTGGAAGCGAATCAATAGATTTTTTTTTTCACTTTATTGCATCAAGGAACGGTGGCGTTCTTAATAAATTTTAAGACTATCCATTAACCAGCTTGGCTACTAAACAATTATTTTTTTTAAAGGAACATGTTTCAGCATATATTCGACAACATCTTATTTAATCAACTGTTTTGCATTAAGATAATTAATACACATACATAGGCCTTTATTTTTATCACTAATTGCAAATGAAATATATCTATCTCATAGTACTTACGTATTTTAACTCTGAGGAGTTGGAATATTTCCGCTTGACGAACAATATAAGTTTCTTGTCATGGCATTAATAAGTTCGAGCCATAACTATTTCAAGTTCCCTATCCAAAGTCAAAGAAACCGTCACAGAGGAAGATTGGATATTTTTAAACTATAAACTGCTCACTGGGACAGAATCCAAGTGTAAATAATTCTACTACACGCAGGTCTTTTGTAAAGCGACTTTACTTCCTTAAAAGTTAAAGCAAAGTAGTAGCCATATGTGTCCCACTGTTATTAGGGCATAGGTTACTACGCAATCATTGGTGCCGGCACCTGGGATTGAATTCATGTTGCTCGAATATATTAAACTAGCGACCCGCCCGGGTTTCGCACGGGTGCAATGTATTATACATGGAGGAAGGTTTACTTCCTCTTGAATCACTCTATCTAGTAAAAAAAACCGCATCAAGATCCGTTGCGTAATTTTAAAGATCGAAGCATACTTAGGGACACAGACAGCGGTACGACTTTGTTTTATACTATCTAGAGATTAAGAGCCAGCACCCGGACATTAAGGTATCACGGGTCACTCACTTCCCTGGCCGAACTGAAATATTTGTGCAGCGGCATCTCTGCCGTATCCTATTGCGTGACTCGAACACAGTAATTCAAAATCTATATCAGGTCTTCCACGATTTTGTTTACTACTCTGGTTTTGTCTATTCTTCCTGTCCGGTCCAATCTATTTTCAATTCTTCTTTGGAATACAGATCCTTTTGAATCAAGGAGGATTATCGACTGTACGCTTTTAAGATCAAGTAAGGAAACAATCTGGATTTGTTGCCAAATAAGTCACATCATTCATTATTTTCTCTTATATTAAAATGCATTTATCACATTTATGTATATGTATGTACGGTAGTCGTGTTATAATATTATTGTATTTTTTATCATGTATTTGGTTTACCCGTCTTTGACTTTTCTTTCCTTTTAGACCCTACTGTCTTTGCGTAACACAGAGAGCTGGGTGGTAAAGAATGCTTTAATACACAAAATGTGAGTAGTAATTATATCACTGATTCACCACGTAATTTGTCAATGTATTTCTTAAAAGCTTATCCGTTTAAGTAAAACGGCTCCATCATGATCCATGTGAAATATTAGTGATTGCTTAAGATGTTTTAGTACGTAGTAGTTTTAACTGTGGTAAGGCCACACAACAGTTTTCGCTGTTGCACGAATGGGCAGGTCCGTCCAGCGAAGTACCACGGCGTGAAGTGAAAGTGTTTTCACTTCCACGTTTCGTCTGGTGATTGAGGTAGCCGGGGCCGACTTTATTAAAAGGTGGCAACGCATCTGCAACCCTTCGGGTGTTGCAAATGTCAATGGGCGGCAGTTATCACTTGACATCGGATGAACCGCCTGCTCGCTTGCAACCTTCTCACATAGGAAATAATTGAGGTAAACCGATTTCTTGTTTTCCGACTTCCCTAAATTAAAAACAGGAACGTATACAACATGGATTTGGAAATAAAACACAGGTGGACGGTGGAAAAAATGTATAATTGAATTTCCTACTTAAAATTACACTCCGGTTACAATGAAAACTACCATAAACACAAAAATTATGGCTTATTTTATACAACTCGCAAATTGAACTAAGTCACTATTTCTAGTTATGCAAAAATTAAATACATTACATAAGAAACGCTTTGGCACTAAGGATATTGCATTCAAATAGTCCGTCGAAAATGTTTTTTATTTCAATTTTTTTATTACACAAAAATTGAGCATACAATTAAGCGTTGTGCGAAATTAATAAAATAACTTGTGAGTAACATTAATACGTACTTATAAAAAAAATAATTTCATCAAACAATACATCTTAGCATGATTCCTGTTGGACTAAACAACATTAATTTCGCCTATCTAGGCTTAATTCTAGCAATGCATTACAATGTTTACCGAATATGAATCATATCTGATCGCAGCATATTACAATAAAATGACCAAATGCGTTAGCTTACTGCTGATTAAGCATTCTGTTTGATGACTAAAAACATTATTCATAACGTGTCGAAACGTTTTGAGACAATGAATTTGTTGTTTACCAAAAGCAAATACAAAACAATGGCACTTGTTCAACTAAAGTTATAGTGCACAGAAGTCAATTTGTCAAATGTCTTGTTTTTTCCAAGTCAACGGAAAATTAGATCAGAGTATAAACAATGCTAATAAAAACGTGACAAACTAAGAAGTTTATTAACCCTTTAAAAATGAGAAAACCGAGATATCACAACGAAGTTATTTTAATTCACTAAGATATGTTTCAAATCAAACATTCACCATTCACAGAAATTTACGTAATCGTAAATTAACTACAACGAGAAACTTTTAATAAGACCATCGAAAAATAAAAGTGTATAGTTTTCCTTGAAACCTAACAGACTTGTGCCAAAAAAATTTGGCACGAAAAACAACGCTCGTCTGCCATATGCGATCCCTTCTCAGCAATTTAAAAATAAATTCGAGTAAAACGAATCCAACGTAATGCTATAACTACCGTAGAGAATATAAATCGGTAGAAATTTTATATACTTAGCTATATATTACTAATTTTATACAACATATATTATATATCTTATTACCGAGTATTGCCTTTATGGGTAATTTTTATTGACCGCAAGACCCAAAAGTGCATAGGCGACAATGATTATACTTAGGCTTTTAGAGATAGATAAACAAAGATATGGTTATAAAGCGTGCTAAGGTAATTTTTTGAATAAAACTGAACTTCTATCATTTTAAAATAAGTAGGTAAATAAATTGCGCTAGATGTAAAAGCCGATGACATTTTTAAGTAATATTACCCATGATCTAAGATTACTAATCACTTAATGCGGCTGAGATTACTAAATACAATCACATTTCAATATATCTCTACAATAAATGCTAAAATATTACGTAGGTACGTAAAAAAGTTTACTACTTAAACATAAATCTCCATTAGCCTTTACGATTTTTTTTTCTTTGCCACTTTAAAAGCTTGCCACAATAACAATGACTATTCAATAATTTTTTTTATTTGTACAATTCAACAAACTTCATTTGACTCCAAAAAAAGTTTTGGTTATTTTTTGTTGTAGTTATCTATTCCTTGCGATAGATGGCGTCTTTTCCAAATCATAAAATTGAATAAAAAAATGTAAAAGAATATAAACATTAAATATTTATGTATTTAAAAATAAGTTTTTTGTCAAATGACTTGTTTGTTATGACAAATAAAAAAGTGGGTTGAAATAATTGTTCTATGTAAAAAATTATTCTTCTAAATCATTAAAAATTTAGAATAATCTAAACAAATTACGTATTGATATTATATTAAACTCTTTTATAATTAAAAGAAAATTACTTAGAGCAGCTTTATTCGGCCCACGTGTCTGCGTGATCGCGGATTTAAAAAAAATCTATTTGACTTGAATCAAAAGGACAAAACTAAGTAAATCAATAAAAATAACTATAATCTCACATTATGTCAAAGTTATCTGTCATTAATATCATAAAATCTATTAATATCACGTTGATGGCAACTTTTCCCGAGAGAACTGTTGTGGAAAATCTCTTTCTTATTCAGTAAATTGAACTAAAATGTTGCTAAATGGTAGGCATTTCCAGTCAATAATTAGAAACTACTTAAATCAAAGGATCTAAATCAATCCAGATACGGCAACAGGCAATCGTCAACTATGCTAACGTTCATGTGCCAGTTGAAATGGTTCACGCCGGGCACAGTGACCACGTGGAGGCGGCCGCTCTCGTCCAGGGCTCGAAGGCCGATGTGGTCCTCCAGATAGATGTTTTGCTCCCTCATTTCAACGACGGTTTCGTTGACATCGTAGTAGCCGAATTGACTGAAAAGGGAAAATTTTCATGTCATAAATATAAAAAAAATTAAAAAGATGCATTTAATTGTATATCATACAATAAAAATTTAATTGAATTTCTTTTTCATTTTATTTTTACTATTCGATGCCAACTGCTTATGGCGTTACTGTTATCTGCGTAAGTAACATAACCTCAATGGAGACCAGCTTGAAGTGGAAGTATTATACTTTCACATCTGATAAATGTTGTAACAGGACCCAACTATCACGAAGGTTAGTAAAGTACCTGCAGCACTGCAGAAGTTTTAGGCGGCGGTTATTTTCTGCATAAAAAGAAAATAAATTTATTTTCACGATAAATAAAGAGCTTAAGATAATTTTAGACTATGTATCGCATCGTATATATTTCTCCCTATATATTTCTCCTCTATATTTGCTTCTAGATTATTTATCAACAACAAAAATAACTTTTTGCGGCACTAAGCTATCTGCCTGACCTATTATCACAGGGGCAATCGCAATTCCTAACACAACTATAATACTAACAGATGATGTTATATCTTACGTTTACAAAATAATTGAACGTTGGAAGGTTACTTATCTCAAAGTCGACTTGATAATAAACATATTATTTTGTACTCATACCGTATTATTGTTTTAGATATACTAGAGTAGTTATTTAAATAATTCATACCTGCTTTGCCAAGGCGTTATAACTTGGTCGTCTGGGCCACCTATCAAAACTAATCTTTTGACTTTCAATAAGTTAGCCTTGAAATCCTCTGATCTATTGGATCTGAAATTGGGATTGTAATCTGTTTAAATTATAATAAACACAAATACATATACCGTCGGGATTTTTAAATAATGTACATTGTTTCAAAACGGCAAAGACAAATTGAAGTAATTTGTTGCATGAAAATAGTAAACAGGAAATGTCAGAGTTATAATAATAAAATTTTTATCTAACAAAAACAAATGATGAAATATGTTTGAAAGGCAAAACAAATGCCTATGACGTATTTTAAAACGATGTCAAGGTTTTTTTTAAGTCCTAACGCCAAATTCAATGATAGCAATAAATAATATTCTAGCAATATAAATAGTTAAAAAATCATTCACATTTCGTTACCTCACTTCAAAAACACTTTTAAGTGAAAAAATCTTAACAAAAAGTCAGGTTCCACCGAGATTTGAACTCGGATCGCTGGATTCAGAGTCCAGAGTGCTAACCATTACACCATGGAACCGGCTGTTTGTAGGTATGAAATTAGTCAACATATTATTAAAACTTACTATACATAATTAAAAAAAACATTAAATTGTTTTAATAACAATATTAACAAATATTCTAATGTTATTTATGCCTTACTTATGTTGTAAAACATGAATTTCGAAAATGTTACAAACTACCAGAATTTGAATCTATCATCTTAATAACTAGAATAGCAATGTCTATAATAAGAACACTACCATCTCCTAAATCTAGTAATTTTTGAGTTTTTTTTTCAGACTTTACAGAGTGAATAATCATGTTCATTGCTTTTTATATAAATTATATTTCTATTCTAAAGCACAAAGTTGAAATCCACTTATAAAATAAATTATATTAATTTAATTTGCTCACTTAATACGATTGTTGATGTAGGGCAAATATACACTGTATGTCTCATACAACTTTAGGTGATACGGGTCTTTCCAATAATTGCCAACTGATGTATGCTGTCCTACACGTGAATAGAACAGTTCATATGCCGTTTCCTTAACCAGTCCCGGGAATACTACATGCAGAAAACCAGCTGTGAAGAGAACAGAAAATTATCTAGCATATAAAGTCTTTAAATATGAGAACTTGTCATCATTCATTGAGCATCAGTTTTAGCACATTGGAAATCGGAAAAACATATCACTCAGGGATACCATCCAGTTATGAACCTGTCAATATGACATTAAAATATGTAGAAAAAGTGCGAAAAGATTGTCGCCGCTGTGGGAATCGAACCCACGTCTTCGGCATTCGCGGCCTGACGCTCTAGCCACTGAGCTAACTTTAACTTTTTTCTACATATTTAAGCTTACTAAGCTTAAACTTACTAACTTTAAGCTTACTAACTTTAAGCTTACTAACTTTAAGCTTACTAACTTTAAGCTTACTAACTTTAAGCTTACTAACTTAACTAAGCTTTTTTTCTACATATTTTAATGTTCAATCTTAAGTGCAAAGATTAGCACTATAAACAATTAAAATTTCTAAAAAAGCAATGGCGACATCTCTCTTTCGAATTATCGTTGTAAAAACGATAATAGAAATTGTTTGTATGCTGGAAAGGATATAACAATAGATGGCGCCAAGCATTGCTTCAAATGCTAAGAAAACAATGTAGAAGAATGCGTTAAGATTTTTGTCGGTGTGGCAATCAGCCGTTTAGCTCAGTGGCTAGAGCGTCAGGCCGCGAATGCCGAAGACGTGGGTTCGATTCCCACAGCGGCGACAATCTTTTCGCACTTTTTCTACATATTTTAATGTTCAATCTTAAGTGCAAAGATTAGCACTATAAAAAATTAAAATTTCTGTCAATATAAATTGCAAAAACCTCTAACTATGTCAGGGCCTTTTAATTATGAAAAAACTCCAGTGTAATTATGAAAAGAAAAAATGAATTAATGGCTATAGTATGTGACATAATTCTAAAGAAACAGAAAGCATTTTTATAACAGAAATGTATATTGCAAGCAGGCATGTGAGGCAGACAAGGTTCATTCAGAGGGTAAATCCTAGCTTGCTCAGCTTGTGGTTAAGATTTGAGGGTCATGCCCTTTATATCCCCATCACAAACTATTACCATATTGCTATCTTAAAATAATATTAAAAGTAATTGTTTACCTCCATATTGTCCTGCTTGAGGTGAACTCAAAGATATAAAAGTATCTACTGTTATATTAGGAAATGTCTGAATGATGCCTCGCGCAACTAAACCTCCTTGAGAGTATCCTGTAAAATTTTATTATTAAATTTAGATAATACTCAAATATTACAAGTAATTTATTCAGTCATCAATATAAATTAATATTACACTGCCTACTTGAATTGACTCCTATGTCAATAAGTAAATAATTAGCAAATCTTAATAATTAAAAGAGGATTAAAAAATTAACTTTGAAGATTGATTAGAAATTTGGTTAAAATTTTAACAGGCTACTAGTCCAATAATGCAAACAAAAAACAAAATTAAACACTAGAGTGTAGAACTATAAATTATAATCACAAAAATCCCACACAGACACCCCAGCTCCATGTGGTCTTGTGGTCCCTACCCCTAAAGTGAACATAAATATGCAGAGCTAGAACCTTGATACTTCATTAACAAAAAATGTAGTAGTAGTAGCATGCTAAAATTTTACCAAAAATCATGACAGAAAAATGTAATTGGCTTACTCACCTATCACATTTATGCCTTGAGGATATTTTGATGAAATGTTAGCAACATCCTGCCCTATTTCAATAACTTGATGCCACATTGTTTCCAAGCTTGACCAACCTTCAAATCTATCTACATTGTACACTACTGTACCAGGATGTTTCTAAAACATTACCATCATGAAATGTATATTGGAGTCATTTTTTGTTTAATAATTAAAGAGTAAAAAGAAATATGAAGATTAGGATTGTTATCTGTGTATTATTTTAATCAGTCATAGAATGCAAACATATTCTTAAAATCTGATTTTTTTATTATTTATATTTTTAATATACAGTAACTGTAAAATAGTATAAAGTAGATATAAAAAATATCCCATGAAAAAAATTACCTCTTGAATCCTGTGTTTTATTATTTCCATACTTCCACTTCCCGTCATTACACCGTGAATTAAAACAATTGGTTTATAACATAAACATGAGCCAATAAATATATAAAAAACAGCAATTCTTATTTTAAAAACCATTTTCATATCTATTGTAACACTATGATGTATGAACAAAGAAAACGACGCTTTGTATTTCGTCCTAATCGCAAATGTATATTATTATAATGTAAAATGAATGATATCTTCCATGTAAGACGTAAGAAAATTGATGTCACAAAAGTTTTAATTTAATTACGTTCTCTTCCTGTGTTAAGCCTGTTTATTTTTTTACAATATTTGTCAATTTCATGACCTAAACACAAATGACAAACAAAGCCTACACAGTAAACCATTTCCCTATATACAAAAGTACTCTGTGCAGTAAACACTAAACACTAATCAATGACAAAGCAGCTGTGCCATTTGTTAATTGTCATTTGTCATTTGTCAATGACATTGTATTATTTAGCATGCGTCCGATATATCAAAATTAATTTAAAATCCCAAAAACGTGATTAACCGGTAGTTGCGCTATTCTAATCCTATTACCCAGTATTGAAAAGATTAATAAAATAAATAAAGTCAAACATAAAAGAGTCCATAAAAACGCTACATACATACATACTTCATGGGCTTTCTATATGAATTTTGGCTATTACAAAGATTATAAACTTTTTTTTTTAAATATCGTGTTTAAACTTTTTGAACTTGAATTTCACAAAGTTGGACCGTTTCAATTTTTCTTACTTTTTTTTCTAAAATTAGTTTAATGTATCTATACCGGCTGATTTTATAGACGACGGACATATTAGCAGAGGATATACAGGATTTGATTCTAAATCTGAATCTGGTACGTAATTGTGATCTAATTTTTTTTCAAAGATGATTTTTATTTTCTTCTAATATAATGAACACTTAGAAATTCCTGCCTTGCCAACGCAATAACCTAGCCGCTGTTCTCACTGTGACGTTACTGTTCGCTGTTTGATTTGTGGCCATCGCATCTGTATCGATGTGAGTTCAATATCTGAAATTATCTCGTCTCAGTGGTCTTCCTGTAGTTATACTTCATGCGTACCTTCAGACTGCAGACTGTAGGGTGACCATTCTTAATAAACAAACAATGTATGAATTGATATTTTTCTGGTTATTTCGTATCAAAATAAAATATTAATATTTTTTTGTAATTATGGAATGCTCAATTGACATTATGTCAAAGTATGAACTTCGTCTAAAAAATCACTCTGTATAGTATTTGCCAAGTTTCTTACTGTGCATAGAAGTCATTTATGAGCTAGAGCAACTTTTTTTATTTTTTTATGTGAAAAGTTGCTAATCGAGCTGGTGGTTCACCTGATGTTAAGTGAATACCACCGCCCATGGACATCTGCTATAACCAAGAGTTGTAGATGCGTTGACAACCTTTTGAAAATTGGGCTCCGGCTACCTCACTCACCAAACGAAACGCGAAAGTATAATACTTCCACTTTACGCCGGTCTTCTGTGAGGTTGTGATACTTACGCGGACGAGCCAGCCCATTCGTGCAACAGCCGAGACTGCTGCGTGGCCCTACCACCGTTACTGCTACTGGTCTAGCTCCTAACTAAATGACATCTATAACTATCGTGCCGTCGAAGGGTAGTGCCCAGGTAGCGCATTCTGTCACAATAAAACTTCCAATATAATATTTGTTTACCTAATTGAGTAATGTACTTGAAATTAAATTATTTTGATTTAATGTCGAGTTAAAACATGATAATATATAAAAAATAATTTATATCTGGATTAGGGCCATATAAACACGGAATAAAGGATAGTTTCCTTCTTATTCATATTTTCTATTTCGTGCATCTAAAGGAGTAACGTAATTAAATAGTATTAAAGTCGGAAACTTTTTTTACATGTCCACTTCATGTTATGAATAAAACTCTTAAGTTTGACACTTTGACAGTTCATTCATTTCATTCATAAACGTAGTGACATTCTCTTTGTTCATAAACACCTGCATGCATATTGTCATGACTGTCAGAGGCACGTGTTATGTGGAGAATTTTTATTTATCAAACCTTATTTAGTTCTAGAATCTAGCCTTTACATTACAAACTGGTACGCTTTTTAGAGTTATATATTGCAATGATTATTACTTATTTTATTTTTACGACTTGAAAATTGTACTGTTCTTTTTTATTTTAAATTTACAGATGTAAATACAAATTAATAGAAAAAGAGATATAATGGCTTCCACATCATTAGCGCAACAGCTTTTGAAGCTTACTACGCCTCAATCCTCTATTTATCAGGTTGATAAAAAGAAGGCATCATTATTATTTGATCCAAAAGAAGCGGCTCTTAAAGATCGTGAAACATTCTACCAAATTGGCATTAGCGGTCTTAAAGAATTAATCGCTTTATACGAAGGCTTTAGAGTATATGAAGATTCGTTGTTCAGTATTTCTTCAAAGGATTTCGAAAGGGCGGTTCAAACGAATGAAGTGAATCAAAATTTAAACCAGACGCTAGAGAAGTTTCTGTTGCAATTGTCACCTTATTTCCTGTTGCAGTCTTCCCATAAGGCCCTTGAATGGCTTATTAATCGATACCATATCAATGAATACAATCAAGATGCTATTATGATGCTGATTTTACCCTATCATGAAACGAAGATCTTTGTACGGTTTCTGCAATTAATAGAGGTGAAAGGTAAATCTAACAGATGGAATTGGCTGAGACCCATTCAGAAAAGCGGTGTACCATTAACAAAACAGGTCTTACATAATCAGTGTATATCAAATCCTGCCACACTCCATTTCATATCAAAGATGGTTCTGAGGTATGTTAAGGTGTACGGAGAGAGGGCTACACAGTTGAATACAGTTTTTACATTATTTGCCATCACAGCATTTGGTGTTATTGATACTATGAAAAATATTAATGAATCCATTATCAATGCACTGTTGCCAACTATATTAAAAGGTATTGAGTCATCTATAAATGATTTTCGAGCTGCTGCATATGCAGTTTATGCATTTATTTGTGCAAATGCTACATTAAAAGCCAATACTCTTAATGAGATTATATCATGCTTTTTAACCACTGAATTTGAGTTATCATATGACTCTGCTTTCCTTATTGCCTTCACTTTTGACCGTCAAAAACACCTTACAAAATTATCAGAAACACTACTCAATGACATATCAGGAAATGTTATGAACAATCTTTGTAAGCACTTACAAATCATGACTCAAAAGAAACCAAATAACATACAATTGTTTGTGCTAGCCTTCCTTTCTAGCACACTTCCAATCATTCAGAAGGATACAGAAGAGTTCAAAAGGTTTTGTAAGCTGCCAGAAATATTGATAGAAGAAGTGGACTTAAAAAATCAGGATCCAGAAAAAATTATCAGGTAAATGTATTTCATAACTTAGACATTATAATTTACTACTCTTATATTGATGATCTTATTTGAAGTTTCAGTTTACAGTTGTGAGTTTTATGTGTTATAAAGTATTAATGTATGTTATGTCCAAGGTGTAAATTACCTGAATACATAACTTTTTACATAATATTTTTTTTTATTATTCTAAATTATTTATTATTTTTTATTAAAGTCCTAAGGTCTTGTTTGTCATTTACTATGTCTTATAATAATCATATTATCTTATAATAATCATATAGGTATCATATATTATTATTGTGCCCTCATTTATTATTTACTTTTATATGATCAGCCATTAACATGTTCCATTATCCATTTATTTTTCAGATGTGTCTTGGATGCTTTTCAACCACCACAAAATACTCCTACTAATGGTGACGAGAGTGACTTGGAAATAATTGATGAAGACATGGAAATATCCCATAACATCTTAAACTGGTATTCTTTGATTTTGAAAAATCTTGAACGCAAGTATCCGGCGAGTTTTGACCAAGTGGTCAAAAAAATTATGAGTTCAGATAGTGATAATTCGTCTATGAGGCGATCACAATTATCTAAATTGTTAGGTTTTAACCCCGCTGTTGCCCATAAGGTTAATGGAGCATACCTATTTGAGAATTTAAATCATGTCAATCCCGAATTGCGAACAGAAGCTGTCAATTATATTGCGAAGGAATTCCAAGCATTGACAGTTGAGAATGCAGATTTTGTTAAGGAATCAATTGTGAACCGATTGAATGATGACAACCCTGAAGTAGTTGTAGCTACCCTACAAATTTCTAACGAGTGTTTAAAAGTAGTTCTTAATAACATTGATTTAACAAACTCTTTTGTTAATATTGTTGCAAAGAAATCTAAGAAGTGGAAAACGGTAGTGAATAAAGCTATAGTGAAATTTTGCTCATTGGACTCAATGCCTGTAAATCAAGCGACAGTGTTGACATTGATGCCATATTTGTTTCCGCACGATCAAAAAACCGCTGAAATCACTTGGCAGATTATTAACTCGCCATGGGGCAAAAAATTTGGCTTAGTCAATAAACTCAAAGGCATTAATGAATCTGTCAGCGATAACTTTGAAGTTTTAAATCAGTTGATATTTAAAATAATATTTTTAGACAAGTCAATTTCTTTTGATGAGTTTTTGGATGTAAATCAAATAAACAATGACTGTACTCTAGAACTTTATCTATTCTTGCTGTTGAAATCGTGTACATTTAAATCAGCGTCCATTGAAGATTTGACAAGCACACTGAAAGTTTTGCTAAAATCCGTTGAGAACAGGACGATTGTGCCGAGTTCTGAATGTGCTGATTTTTCACCCCAGATCATCCCCGAGTTCATTAAACTCTCCAAGCAAAATAAAATTGTCTTTGGTGTCATGGAATACATTTTTATGCGGATCATTGAAGACGTGCACATAAACGACATAACAAAGCCGTGGTGCAACGTTTGCAAAACACCAGAGACGGTCTTTGTTAGAAGGCTCTATGAATTGTTCTTAACTGGCTGCGGCATTCCGACTTACGGCGAGAGCTATGCGAGGCTACTCAAATTGCTTCTGGGGAAACTTTTCTCAAATGTCCAAGACAAATTCAACTTTGTCGCCAACATTGCTTGTGGTCACGTATTGTTTGCAATAAATCCTGATGATGTTATCAATCCCGAATTGCAACTCAGGAGTCTGAAGTTGCTCATCAATTTCGTGACTACCCAAGCCGACGCAAAGTGGATTTACGATTCCGACGTGTTAATGCTTACGATATTGTTCGATTTGAATAACCCCCTGGAGCCTTTACGGGAGTGTGTCATTGATTTGGTCGGTAAACTGTTACGTTACGAACCGGACCAAAGTATAATATATGTGCAGTTGATGACCGAACTCCTGGCGCACAAGGACGAGTTGTTGTTGGACCCCGAACAAATAACACAAGTTCTGAAGACTATTATGACCCAACAAACGCCCGGTAACAAAATGTTCAGAAAGAATTGCATGACGAAGTTGACGAGAATTTTGATCACCGACACACCGTCTCACATCAAGTACAACTTGGTTAAATTACTGTCCAGCATGAACAGTGTAAATAGTTTCCCTCAGATTATACCGTCGCTGCGTTCAATGGAGAAGATATTAATAGACGGTGACAGTAAATACGCTTTCGGTATATACGAGTCCAATCTATTTAAATCAGTGTATGGTTTGATTAATGAGACGACTGTAACAACCCTTGAGAAGGATCAGGTATGGAAGTCCATTGAACTCGCTCTGAAAGAATATCGTGAATGTATATTGGATGAGAAACAGTCTTTGACTAGTCCATGCGTGTTAATAATGAAGGAGATCGATGAGGCCGTGTTCAGAAAGTTTCCTGAAGAGAGAACCAACGATTTCATCCGTCTCGTAGCATCAGCTGGCACGTTCAGTGGAAATCCGAATATTTCGTCAGCTGCATCTAAATTAATGAAGAAAATCCATCTGGATTTTGGTAATTTTAAACCTATTCTTGAAAAAATGCTAAACGCAGTGGATCCAGCGTCTGCCGTGCCCAAGAAAAAAAAGGTCTCTGTTCCAATGCTGTCATATCAACTGGCCGAAACAGACGAATGGAGATTAGGAGTGACTATCTTGGAATACGTTCAGAACAAAAAGAAAATGACGGTAGATAATAATTTCGTCTCTATTTTGTTCCAATTGCTGAACAAATGCTTGCGTTTCGAAGAACAATCTTATGTGGAATATACGAAACAACTTATACTTTCATCGCTGTGGTACTATTGCAAGAAATTCGTTAACGATTCCGATAAGGAGCAATTGCAGTCACTAAAAAGCATTTTTGACGTAGAGTTAGTGGTTCAGTGCATAAGAGGAACGCAGAATCCTCAGACTCAACATCATGCTCTCATTTTGCTGTCACACGCGGCTTACATGTTGCCTGAACAAGTCTTACATCACACTATGGAAATATTTACGTTCATGGGATCTTCAGTCCTAAGGCACGACGACGCTTACAGTTTCCAAATAATCACAAAGATCATAGAGACTCTAATACCTATAATTGTCAAACTAGATAAGGACATTGAAGATTATACCGATAAGGAAATGCAGCAGTTGCAGAGTCGAGTAGTTCCAGTTTTACGAATATTTGCTGACGTAGTTCTACACGTCCCTGAGCACAGAAGATTGCCGCTCTATAAGAAGCTTATTGAGACGCTTGGACCCAAACAATTCCTATGGGTATTCCTTGCGCTCCTGCTAGAAACTCATATCGCCCATTTCAACGAGAACAAGAAGAAGGATAAAAGACAACAACGGACCCTAGCCGATCAAGAGTCGCCGATAAACAGACTCGATTTCGGACAAAGCATAGTGCTCGAATTTTCACCGGAAGTCGGTCTAGAAAACTTTATCAAACTGATTACGTACGTAAAATCACTGCCGATGCAGAAAGACGAGAACTCAATGGAAACAAACGTGGATCCAAGTGATATATTCAGCGTGAACAGCCACACCCCAATCCAATTGCGTCACTACAAATACGTCATTATAACGTTTATGAACACCTGTTTGGCTTCGTCGCGCTTCATACATCACTACGGACAGGCTACGGACGTGAAGGCCATGGAAGGACTCTACAAGGCGTTCATAATTAACATCCTGACTTTCATACAGAGCATATCAAAAGTGAGTGATGAGAAAGCGGCCAAGTACTGGCGGGTGATGCTGCATCACAGCTACGACCTTTTGGACCACACCAACAATCTTCTATCGGCGCCGATGTTCCTCTCGGTCGTTCGCGGCCTTCTGAAACACACTCTGCAGACGGTGCGGAGGAAGTCGATGGAGTTACTCAACTCGAAGATACAGTTCAGCCCGGAGATGTTCGCCGACGTCGACAAGGAGTTGCTGTTCTCGCTGCTGCCCGCGTTGCTGGATATCGTGAGGACTATAGACGACAAAGACACGACTTTAAGCGAGACAGCTGCTCAGGAGCTAGAGCTGAACCAGCAGACGGCTCTACTGTCTCTGAAGCTGCTCGCTAGGACGTTGGCGGGTGAAAATCCGGAGCCATTCAAACCAGTCTTGGAAGTGGTTACGGACTACACCTGCGACCCGGGCATAAGCGGCAACGTAATGGCCTCCGTCGTCCTATGTTTGGCGGAGCTTTGTGGAAACTTGAAAGCGCACGCGCTCGCGAGCCTGCGCAAGTTCGTGCCGGCATTGATCAAAGTGCTCAAGAAGCAACGCAAGGCGGACGTGCAAGAGTTGGTGCTTCTCAGCACCGTGACGGCGATCTCGAAAGTGGTGGAAAGCCTGCCGCTGTTCCTTAGCCCGTACCTGCAGAAGATCCTGTACGAGTACTCAATACTGCTCGCCAAGTGGCGCAGCTACGACCAGGAGTGCAGCAAGGTGTCGGCGATAGTGGCGAAACTTTCGAACATAAAGAAGAAGATCGCCGGATCGATACCGCCGCGTGTTTTGATACCGGTGGCGAACGCGACCTACAACCTGATCGTCGACAAGGGGAAGTACGAAGCGGTCGGTCCGGTTATGTCGGTGCTGGCGGACTGCTTCGCTAACGTCACCGCGGCGGACTTCTCGGCACTGCAGCAGGACCTCACGGCGTTCTTCCTATCCGCACTGCAGCTGAGGAGCGACGCAGTGGACAAGGAAGTGGCCGCCGACGTGGCGGACGTCGCCGAGGGTGAAGTTGTCAACGCGCTGGTGTGCCTGGTGCTCAAGCTCTCCGAGACGAACTTCAGGCCGTTCTACTTCAGGATATACGACTGGGCTATTAGGACCAACATCGAAGGCCACAAGGACAGGGCGATCACCTTCTATAGGTGAGTGCGTAGAATTATTGGTATCCGTTATATTTAAGCATACGAGCTGTCTTTTTCTATTCAGTGTAATCAAGCGACGTGCGTTAAAACTCTGCAAAAAAAGCAAATTCTAAACGTTCGGAGTTACGCAACCGAACAGCGACATTGTCACTTTGTGCATCATAGGCACATTTCACTCGCGTACATATGTACATTGTATGCCTAATCCAAAGCAGTACGCGCCTCGCCACCGTCCAACCAAAACTATACCATTTATTTATACCGCGTATTCTTTATACCATTTTATATCATTGACCATACCATTATATACGTGTTAATAATTAACAAAAATTCCAGACTGAGTAGCGCCATCGCGGACAAACTAAAGGGCCTCTTCGTGCTGTTCGCTGGGCATTTCATCAAGAACGCGGCGGAATTGCTGGACGCGTGTAACACGAGCAAAAGCGAGCAGTTGTACTACGAGAGCGACGAAAAATGCGTTTCCCTCGTGAGCCATATCGTGAGGACGCTGCACGTGGTGTTCTCATACGACAGCCAGAGCTTCCTCAACAAGGACAGGTTCGAGACCCTGATGCAGCCGGTGGTCGATCAGTTGGAGAACACGCTCGGCGGGATCGACGGCCTTAAGTCGAGGGCGCTAGAGCTGATAATCCCGTGCGTGGCGCAGTTCGCGGTCGCCACCGCCGACGACTCGCTGTGGAAGCTGCTCAACTACCAAATACTTCTGAAGACGCGTCATAACGACGCCGAAATCCGGTACGATATGTTTTTAGTAGAAGGAGCTGGGTAGTACCACTTCGACCTAGAAAGATCTATTGTAGTCTGCCCTTCGAAAACATTGCTCCTTTACAGTAGGATAATATTATCCTGTGTTGTATGGGCGTTTTACATATTTTTTTAATGTGAAAAGTTGCCAAGCGAGCGGCAATTCACTTGATGTTAAATGAATACCGCCGACAATGGGCAAATGAATCTGCTACACCCGAGGGTTGCAAAAGCGACCTTTTGAAAATTGGGCTCTGGCTACCTCACGCACCAGACGATACTCACTTCCACTTGACGCCGGTCTTCTGTGAGGTCGTGGTACTCACCCGGACGAGCCTACCCATTCGTGCAACAGCCGAGGCTGCTGCGTAGCCGCACCGCCAGTTCGCTTGTCAAATTTTGACATAAAAAATATTTTGTTCAATGAAGATTTTATAGCCCTATCTCTGTCTACCCCATGAAAACGAACCCTTTGGCGCAATTTGCATTTATTTGTTATAGGTTAATCGCCTTGGACTGCCTCGTGTCGATGGCAACACAACTCGGTAGCAGTTGGCTGCCACTGTTGGCAGAGAGCGTGCCATTCTTGGCAGAGCTACTGGAAGACGGGGACCCGAAGATAGAAGCGTCCACTAAAGAGGCCATCAGGAAGTTGGAGCAAATATTGGGGGAGCCGCTCGAAAAATACTTCTAAGAACAAATTGAAGCCATATTTGGCCTTTTTATAAATAAATGTTTTATATGGTTATTTCGTCATTTAATTTTCGAAGCGAATTATGTCAGTTGAGTTTTCATATAGCATCATCTTGGTAGGTGTCTGGAGACTGAGTTCGATCCCCGGTGCTGGCACCAATGAAATTGTTAATTTTAAGTTTTTAAGTGCCGAGTTATAACGTGGTCTGCGGTGAAGGAAAACATCGTGAGGAAGCCTGCTTATTTTCGAAATAATAACAAAAAATATTTCGAATATATGTGAAGTTCGCCAATCCGCAGTGGGGCCGCGTGGTGGATACCCTCTGTATAGAAGATATCTTTGCCCAGCAGTGGGACATGTACAGGCTGTTATTTTACATTACTATTATGTTGGATGGCAGTATATAAATCGTTTTATTTTCATACATAAATCTTTATTGCTAATGTTCATTGATTGTTGGTTTTTTGTTTACATATTTAACTACTATTAAAATGTTTGTTTTTTGCCCATGCCTAATTGCTTTAGTCGATTATATTGCTTTGATTTAAACTGTAGTTTCTCACTTAGTACAGCAGTTCGGCAATATGAAAACTACTTATTTGAGTAAATATCGATACTTTAATGGTAGCGTATTAACCACAACCCACCTCTTTTTTATGATATTTGTTCTATTAAGTTGATTTGATTGACCAAAGTAACGCCATGTGTATGTTACAGGATAATTAAAATACTTTTCTTATAAACGTTATCATTCCAGCTATTAGTACATTTTATTTAGCGATCGTAGATTTATATTTTTCGAAACAAATAAATTTGTTTTACGTTAAGTTATGAGTTATATACAATGATATTTTCATATCCGCTAATTAACTGTTGTTTCGACATAATTCTGGTTGTGTTTAAAATATTTTTTTAAAATAACCTGAATTTCTCGATTTTTTATTTTGTGATTTAGTGATACTTCGTGTTTGTTTCATTTATAATTAATTTGCACCGTTCTTCGATTAAAGTCTATTTAAACATACGTAAACCTAACAATAATTCTATTGAAACATTCGGTAAAATAACCGAATATTCGGCCGAATACGAGCATTAAAATATGTGCGAATTTTCGACCAAACATTCGGCGCATTTGTTATTCAAATTCGTTGTCCAAATTTAAGTGGTACAGTGCGTAATACAATACTTTATATTCGTCTTGATTTTCTTCTTCTAAGTATATGTATGTTTTAAAAAACAAAGTAATGATTTATTATTAATTTATGAGACTGCACCCTAGTGAAAATTAAGGAAGTATACCGACCTATTGAAAAATAGAATGCAATTAACTGGATAAAATTATGTATAACTTAAAGCTATGGTACAATAAACATAAAATAAAAATGTTAATACTAGGTATATAATATTAATGACAAAATGTTATCGACGGTTTAAACAAAAAGCCAACGTCACGCGGTGTTCCCAGGCGGTCACCCATCCAAGTACTGACCGCGCCCGACGTTGCTTAACTTCGGTGATCGGACGAGAACCGGTGTATTCAACGTGGTATGGACGTTGGCGAAAAATCATATCAAATGTCAGTACCAAATAAACCACTATCAATTTTTCTATTACCTTTTAGTTTTTCAATACTACACATGTCAAATCGTTCAATTCTACAATTTGCGAATAGCGATTTATAGAAATAAATAGTGATTATATCGGAGTTATTGTTTTTGCAAATCAAGCGGAATTATTATTGCGTACAAACAAAGCCAAAAAATATTTTTGGCCAAAGGTGGAGTTAGCTGGTTTACCAATTAAGGTATCGACATGTTAAATCGTTCAATTCTACAATCGGAAGATCTTGCTACACGAGTACCTTGTTTGAATACAATTATAATTTTATTTCTTTTGTTGTGCGATACATCTAAACAATTATTTTAATGAACCAATTATAATTAACCGCAGTCACTCGTTCGTTGAAAACTTTTTAAAATAAAAAACAATGCGATATTTTTTAAACTGTTGCTATGTTACCGTTGTCGTATTGGAGAAACAGATGGCGCTGGCGCTAACTTTAAGGGGTCAATAATATTAAATATTGCAAATGGATTAGATAGCCGCCAACGTCTATAACACGTTGAATATACGGGGTTTTCTCCAATCAACAAACTTCCGTAAGGGAACACCACGTGGTGTTGACTTCTAGACACTTTCACTATAACTTTTATCCCATATGAAAATAAGACAGATATAAAATACTCTTTCAATCAATGAAATGTGGAAAATTGTAGAAGCTATTCATATTCTGAATATTTTTTCTGATGCACTTTTCTATTCTTTCCAAATTAAGACCCAATTTCTATTTGAGGTCCAAGTCAAGCTGAAATATTAATATAGCCTATATTAATGTTTCGGCTTGACTTAAAAAAGTAAAATGTTATACTTGGTAGATTTATAAAAATTAAAAATAAAACGATCTACCTGAAATTAATGAATTGCTCTCATAAACCACGGACATGTTTTTAATGCGTACTAGTAAGTGAATTTATAAGTGATTTCCTTGTTTTGTTCTTTATTTAACTTTCCTTCTGCGCCCTAAGAAAATGCCGCTTACGGTATAATGAAAGTGTTTAAGAACACTTTCTTTTGCTCCCGCTCCTTGTTAGAGCGGTCACTCATTTGGAAGTTTTAAATGAGCTGTAGTTTGACTTTTAGTTCAAGACTATTCGTCAAATTATCTCTTTTTTTTGTAGATCGTCAACATGGTATGAATTTTTCCCATTTTGTTGGAATTGAGTAATAAAAAATTAATTCCAAATTACTCTGCTACTAATACGTTATTTTTCAAATTCTTATTGGTGTTTTGAGGAGTTTTCTTTAATTTATCGGTGACTATACTTTAAAAAAATCAAAATACTTGTAGCTATCTGTGAACTTTTCTATATTTCCATCAAGTAAAGAAGGAGTTTATCATACTGACTTATTATTTCAATTCTGATCGTTAATAGACAATAGTTGAAACATGTTACGACAATATCGGATAAATAAGATTTTTGTAAAATTTAAATAATACTGGTATAAAAGTAATGTGTTAGAAGTATTGATTAAATGGAAGAGGGAAAAGGAAGGAAAAAGAAAATATACTATAAATATACATAAATAATACTACTACGCCTCGGGGTTCATAATAATAATAAATAACAATAAATATTTAGGACACATTTGTACACAACATTTTTTAGTTCCAAACTAAGCAAAGCTTGTATTATGGGTACTAGAAAACTAATAAACATACTTTTCATTTTTAAATAAATACATATTATACATATATAAACACCCAGACACTAGACAAACACAAATATTTTTCCAGTAGTGGGGATCGAATCCACACCCTCTGGCGCAGGAGGAGGGTACTCTAGCCACTACGCCATTCGAGTCGTCTATATAATACCCCCGTTTATATACAATAAATACATTTTTGAATCGTCGACATGGTACATGACGTACCGAGAATCTACTTAAAGAAGAAATTGTATAAAAGATATGAATATCACACGCAGTTGTAGAACTTCCTAGTAAAACGACTTAGAATAGAAGGGCTTATGAAGTAATTTACTGATGAAAGTTGCTTATAGTAATGGAGTTATAGCTGCACTTTCCTTTAAAATTGAAAGCTAAGTTCTTAAAGTAAATTGGAACAGCCGAGTATCGTGTACTCTACAATTTGTACAATTCTACATTCCCCTTTTTTATTCTAATTCATTCATTACATGTGAGGCCATAAACTTTTATATTCACTTACACTAAGAAAAGGTAGGCTAAAAAGTGTTTCGATTTTTTTTGTTCAAAGCCAAATCTCGTCAATACTAAACAAACAAAATAGGTTGATAAACAGAGAGAACAGAAAGTAGACCGGCATGGGGACTCTGACATTGACGGTAGTCGACTATATTAGTCGTTAGGTGTCGTACGAACTACTTGCCGGTATCTGAGTGTACGTAGTGTACGTGATGTGTTGGTTTCGCCGTGCTCGTAGGCAGTATATGCAGTATGTTGTAAATTAATGGCTGGTTTCAATACTCTATTTATCTCCTAATTTGTTTACTGTTGATAAAATTTTTACGTAAGTATTATGGAACTATACGGATACAAAACGGAATTGTTGGTGGATTGTATATAAAAAAAAGAATAAACAAAATGTGCAAAATTTTAATAAACATTTATTTATTTGGAACCTTTAATTTTTTAATTAAGCTTGACTTGGTTTGGGGTCAAATTCTCTACATTGTAAAATTATATCTTTTGTTTCGTAAAGTTTTGGTGACACTGGAAACACCGATGTCTAGACTGGCTAAACCCAGAAAATCGTTTCATCCACAAACAACGAAGAGTAAATAATAAAAAAAAAACAATAAGGGTAAGGGCTTATTATAATGTAAGATACGTTGAGGACAGGGATATGTGAAAGTGGCTCTTGCTCTGCACAAGTCTCCTGGCTGCTGCTGATTTTATACTTAAATCATTTTGTATACTTATAATTAAAAGAAAAATATAATAAGACCACAGAGTTTGTTACCGGTTTTTCACTTGACAGGTGTACTTAGTGAAGCATAAACAGGAATCATGGGCGAAAAGAAATCAACAAAAAAAAAATAATCTAAAAAAGTTTCTGGACAATAAAAATTATAAAAGCAGAAATACCAGGAAATTCCAAAGTTGTGTGCCGCCATGTTCTTGAAAAAAAATTACAAGGAGTTAATAAAGATTTTTGATATCTGTATTAATCATATCGCTGGAATTCTGAGTCTGACAAAGCTGCTTTTGATTATATACTTGTGACAAGTATATAATTAAAGTTTGCTACGTTTTAGGTACGGTAAGGACCGTTATTTCACTCATCAACTAAGTAGTTGGTGAGTGAAATGAAATTATGTTTGTAGTATGAATTTTGAATGCGTATATATTTTCAATTACTATTCTATTTATAGGCCAAATAAGGCATTTTATAACAG